TTAGAACAAAAGTTAAATTATCTTATATTGAAAATAAAAAATTCGACGTAAATATGGACGTCAACGAAAACAATCAGTATGTCACTGGGCACGAGTTTGTAATAGTAAGATGTGAACTGACCTTGCAATAACGTGTCATCTGACAGAAGAACATGAAAATTATCTAATATTAGAAAAATTTTACATTAAATCGAGCCTAGTCAAGCCTTTATCTGTACTGGTTCGAGCCTACCCAAGCATTTATCTGAGCCTACCCAAGCCTACTCTCCTCCAATCTAGGGTAGGCTCGTGCCTACCCAGGCCTCGTGGCTCCGCCGCCTATGCTATTAGTAGATGGTTTGTGTTTTCATCGCACAATTAATCTTGGATATAATCGATATATTAATAGGAAAATGTCTATGAAAAGAAATTTAATTAAAAAATTTCTTTATTTAAACTAGACCATTTCAATACTTGTTTTCGTTTATAACATGATACATCAACTTATAGTTAATGTTTCGATACATATATATATATATATATATCAAATGATCTTCATATACTACATAAAACTTTAATATAGCATCTCTTATATTATGATCTTCGAATCATATCGAAAAATATCTATATATTCTATTTTGTACATAGAAATATAATAAACTTGTAAATAACAATCATAAAAATTCAATGTGATAAAAAAAAACAATAAGAAGAATCTCAACTAATAAAAGTTCAGATAGCACTTTTCTAGTTACTATTATTTTATCGTATGAAGAATGTTCTTACTTGTGTCAGGTTCAAACACAAGTGAAGCGTAAGATCGCACACGTCTATATTTATAATGAATTGAACATTGTTCTTTTCTCCTTGTCTTTTTTCATTGTTGTTCTTTTCTCCTTGTCTTTTTTCATTGTTGTTCTTTTCTCTGTCGTTTTTCATTGTTGTTCTTTGTTGAAAATTATATATGCATAATCTTTTGTGGACTATTAAGAACTAGGCAATGATGTGCGTTCAGTAAATGGAGAAAGAAAGAAACATCTAGGTAATGGACTCATATTCAGTGTTTCTAATGGAATTCTAAAACAAAATGTACAGTACACGCTGTTTTGGATAAGCAAAATGTACAGCAAAATGTACACAGACATTTACATCACCGAAGTGAAGCGAAAGAGCAAAAAAAAAAAGAAAAACTTCTAGTATGAACAAAGATATTTTATAAAATTTTCCAGAATAATGTACACGCTGCTTTTTTAAGTAAAGTGTACAGCAGTGTGTATTTTCATAGCTGCAGATGTTTGTACATTTTGCTTCCGCTGTGTACACTTGTCATTAGAAACTCTGCTCATATTTATTTGTTGTAGTGCTAGGATTGGACGAGAACGAGTAACCAATAAAAAATATGTTTTTTTTTGTTTTGAAGGGTATTCATTTATCTAGATATTCTCATTTTTCTATCGGTTTTAGCTTTCAAACGAGAGAAGGATATAAAAAAAATTCACAGTGGACAATCTTTTAAACAAAATTCATCACTCTTATATTCTCTTCCTTAATTATTTACGTAATTATTAATAATATTCTAGCTGATATATATATATATTTTATACAAAAATATGACGTTTCCCTGCAGATGGTAACTTCTTTCCAAACAGAGTACAACAGATTTATAATATATATAGTTACTAAAATAGATACTTTTAAATTTCATATACATTTGATAATAGAATAAATAGAAAAACAGAAACATATGTTCTTTTTTGTTTCTTCTTTCTTTACTTAAACATTAATACGGAACACGACGGTAACGGTGATAGTCTTAACTGATGGCTCATTCCCGTATCAATATTTAAGTTAAGAAAGAAGAAATTCAGATCGAGAAAGCAATCTCATAAGGAAATGTCAATCGTCGTATATTAGTGTACCATATGGCTCAGTATTATAATCGTATTACTTAGGTTTTCGTCATAAAAGTTTGTATTTCCTAAGTTAACTGAGCACTGTTGCAAACGGCTCTCTTAGATGGTTCTCTCACTCTTCGAGCCCTTACACAAGCCCTGTCTATTCTTATTCTATTGTAACATGTATAGTCAGTTGAAAAATGTATATTTTACTAAATGTAGGATATGGATTTATGAGAATAAGGGTGCATGAGGTCATCGGTTTATCGTTAACCTCAAGTCCTCACCATCATGCACATCTTCTAGTTGCCTTATCCGCACTCACACCCTTATAAATAACAGTAAATCGTTGAAGCCAAAATTCACTAAACGAAAGATGCATTTGAGTGTGAGGAATTTGACATTTGCAGGCTTTCTTGGACAATACAGGAAGGATAGCGTCACTATATCAACAGTGACGCTATGAGATCACATTTTTATTTCTATTATTGTACGTATTTTTTCTTCAACTGAATCTTTCGATTGAAAAAAAAACCATAACTATTTGTTAAGATATAAGCACCTCGAATGAAATCTTCTCTTTCTTTTCTTAACTATTTGAAAGATTTATGCGCAAATCTACTGAACTACAAGAGAAGTCTTCTGAAATCAATTGTTTTGAGTTGCTCTGTCTCGTTAGATCGCAACTAGGTTTTTGATTATGACGATAAATTAAATACTTCTGAGCAAAACTGTTAGCAAAGGGTTTTTATTCCGACGAATCGCTTGAACGAAGTAAATCTCAATTCGACCTTATAGTTTCGAGTCAGTGACCTTCTCTTGAGACTTGAGCTTTGCATCTATGTCTGTTCTACAAAAAGAAACGAATTCGATTGATCGAGATTCTTGATCAGCACTTGATCGATCATTTTCTCATTTTGAAGATGTGATTCTTGCTTTTAGCTAGAGCCACACTCTAAACCATATGAAGAATAAAGAGCACAGGATGAAAAACACTTTAAAAAAAACTGATCGAGCTTTATAGTGTCTATCTAAAGAAGCAATTTTCCATTTCTAGAATAGAAAAGCCCATCATCTTCGAAGACCATTGATCCTGGATGACTTTATTCTCTCATGTTTATGACATCAAATTTACATACGTAACTTATAATAGTGGTCAAAAGTAAGTATTGCAAGAATAGAAATTTTCGTTTATCCATGCAGACAAGATATTACTCGATTTTAAGAATTTGTACTACTTACTGTTCATCCTCACTGGTTCTAATCAATATCTCCTGACTACCGAAGACTATGAATCATCAAGCTGAAGTTATGCAGATATCGATAATATGCACGGTTATCTAAACTCGAAAAACTAAGATATAACAATTTTACATGATAAAAAAAATCCGTTCTAATCGATTAACAGTCAGATTAGTCATTCGTTATTGATTGTTTTGATTTGAATAGTCATTTTATTTGAGAGTAAAGGTGATCCTTTGTCAGTTGAAAAAAAACCTTAATACACCTTTTGTATTTCGGTAGGCTTTGATAATGTTGATTTGAGAGAAGCACATCATTAAGAATCGCATAATCAATTATAATCAATCGACATCCATTTATCTGACTTTTTAGAATTATGATTTCATTTAACTAAGAACAGATGCCGAATTCTCATCCCAAAAATCTGTTCGAATCTATAAAAAAAAGATTTTTTTTTTTTTCATTTCAATCGATGTATAGCTTGAAATCAGTTTCAATCAAATTATTTGCATAAGTTTATTTGCTCTCGTGAATTTATCGGATCAATTTGCTCACAAAAGAAAATAGTCGTGATTTCTTCTTGAATATTTTTCATTGGGTTAATGAAGTTAGTTCATAAGCAACGGGTTCTTTTCCTTTCAGTATAAAAGTTGCGATTGTAGTATAATCATGAGAGTTGTATCTACCATAACGATCGAATATTATTGTTACTGCCAATGAAAGTATTGCGTTTAGTGTCGTATTTCATCACGCTGACAGGAAAAAAAAAAGCACAATACAGTTACTCGACACATTAACATGCAGGTAGCTGTTTCTTTTCTTCAAAATTAAAAGCATGCAGGTAAAGTAGTCGTAAATATATTCTACTGCTTTTTTGCTATCGATGAAAAGCATTTCATTAAGCCTGAATTACTTTCTATTGATCATTATATGCAGCATTATATTTGAGAGTGCTCCAAAAAAGAACATGTTTCACCTTTTTTGGTTGTGACGCTCTGCATCTCGTGCGGTTTATTTTTCGTATTGATCAATATAGAAAAACATATTGACAACTTACACAAGGTTCTCACAGATGGATGATATTTTGTTTACTTTGTCATTCAATTTCAAACAAGGTTTGATTTGTTTCGATTTCTTGTCTTCGATCTCTATGAGCGACGACCTTGCTCGGGATGAATGCTTTGTAAATATCAAAATAATTTTTAAACAATTAGGCTTTTGTATGACTAGAAAAGATTTTAAAGGATTAATTTTGTAAGATTTTTCATACCAACATACAATAGAATGTGTCTATTTTATAAATCTTCTTGGGTTTCTTCTTAAGTGCGTAAGTCTTCGCTTTCTGATGGTATTTACGTACATCAGATGACAAGAAGAATAAACTCCTGTCCGCAATAGAAGGTTACCATATAAGAAGAACGTTGTTCGAGAAACAATGCACCATCAAACGTAGTAGAAAATCTTTCTTAAATAATTAATGTCTCACAAAGTTCGAACTTTAATTAGAATATTTACATTACAACATGCCTAGTTTTTAGAGTTTTGAGCTGAAGAACCCTCATATAATGCAGTTCAAGCAATTTGTTAGCGTTTCAAACACTTATAATTAAAAAGGTGAGGCATAATAAAAAATTC